AGCTTTGTTCTCCACTTCCGGTATGGTGACAACTATCGGGAGTCCAGCTCGTCGACGGTGCTGCGGCTCGTTGGTCTGTTCTTCCCCGGCGTTTCTGCTCACAGTCCAGTGAACTACGTCAATTCCGTGAGGCTCGGACCAGCGATGCTCGACACGAAATAGCTTGGCAGGAATGCCAAAAGGTGGTGATACTCTATTGTTTTCCTTTCTTTCCTGAATCCCGGCTGGTGTTTCGGCAGGTGTGTCGCACCCCAAAAATGGCCTAAATACTTAGCTTGGGCTAAGGTTGAGCCTAAGTGGTGAGTTTGGGCTTAAGGTTAGTACTAATCCTTGGGTTAGGGCTAAACCTTGGGTTTAGACCATCCTTAGGTGGCACCCCTTCGACACTTCATCAATCTCCACCAAGGGTCACTGAGTCTCCGCCACCTCAGTGATCCATAAGTCACATCCCTTACTTTGTTGACACAAGGTTCCAAGGGATGCCTCCTTTGGACACATCACTGATCCTCAACTCAACCCTTCCTTGTGTTTATATACTCACATCCATTCAATGCAAACCATCCTACCTTTTGGCAAAGCAGTGTGTGCTACTTTCCAAGTGGAAAGATCCTTGGATTCTAGACTAGTAGTGTTGGGGCTTGGGGTTTTCCTTTCGAGCTTCATTTCTGGTGCACTGCCCGGGAAAGTATGCACATTGCTGCTCTGCCGATGGAGTGAAGAATCCGAAGACAGCTCGGTAGCCGAACACAGCTCGGCGACTTCACTAAAGGAGGGGTGTGTATGCGCCGTTCGCAGTACGAGTACCAGAAATTGCTTGAGGAGAGACAACAAGAAGCCGAGAGAAGAGAAGCACAAAGGTTATTCCGGGAGGAGAGGTATCGTAGGAGACAAGGCCCTACACCCACTCCGGAGACAAGCCCAAGACCAAGCCGAGAGACATCTCCGGTTGGATCATCTAGAGAAGAACAAGAAGAAGAAGAAGAAGAGCAAGAGGAGGTTGTGATATCACCTCCTACACCACCACCATCACCACCACAAGCACAAGGACAAGGTCAGCAACAACAACAACAACCACCACAAGCAATGGCAACCGCGACAACAAAGATGAAATACTCTACCTTCACGGGAGTTGGAGATCCAGACGCTCACGTGATGGCATTTGAGAACACCACTACAGCAAATGATGAAGCTGGAGCCGTGGAAAGGAGGAAGCTATTTCCTGCTACCCTTCTTGGAGTGGCGGCGGAGTGGATGACCACTATTCCGGCAGGAGCTGATTGGGTAGCGTTGCGAGCAGCGTTCCTAACAGCGTTTCGACCTGTTGGATTCAATCAATGGATCATGGATAGCCTCTATGATTTCCAAATGTTGCCCGGAGAGAGCTTACAAAGTTATACCTTGCGATTCAAAGGTCTCTTGCTCAAGAGAACTCCACAACCTACGGCAGAAGAGCAAGTGAGATACTTTGTGGGAGGTCTTCCCCTCCCTTTGAAGATTCACGTGAAGTGCCAAAGCCCAGCGGACTTGAATACCGCAATAGCTTTTGCTGGGAATTGGGAACAAGCCCATCTTGGAGTGAATCGTCAAATGATGAGCTCGGGGAGTTCATCGGCCAATCCTATGGCCAACATGGCTACAACGAATCCAGCCATGTATTCAACAAGTGGACTCCACGGAGGAGTTGCACCTGCGGGAATGGGAACTATGGACTATACGAAGATGGCATACTCAACAGTACCTGGTCAAGTTCCTTCTCCCATGATGCAGCAGCAAATGCCTTATGGCATTTATCAACAATCACCGGTTCCGGATGTGAAAGCTGAAGTACAAGCCGAAGTGAAGAAAGCACAAGAAAGTTTGGTGGAAACCCTTACTCAGAAGATGTCGGACCTCCAGCTCAATTGGATTAAGGGAGTCCAAAGCCCATGACGACAGCAGAAGACCAGGGACAACATTTGGTGTGTTCGTTGCCGAAGTTACGGGCATTATCCCAACGAATGCCCGCAAGATGCTATACCTCGTTGCAAGCATTGCAAGCGAGCGAATCATAGATCAGAAGATTGCCACTATAAGCCGGGGAATCAGGTTCAAGCAGCTTACATCCATGCTACACCAGGAGGAATGCCTCAGCAGCAACAACTCCACATGCTTCCTCAACCGTACTCTCCACCGGTTACTTATGCTCCAGTTTATACGGGTGAGATGGTCCCAGTTTATGCTGCGGGGGTTACAGGAGGAGGAAGGGGTCGAGCACCACCAAGGAGAGGTCCTGTGACATGCTACAACTGTGGAGAAGTGGGCCATATTTCTCCAAATTGCCCGCATCCGCGAAAGCAAATTGGTTATCAACCAATTTGTGGCATTTGCCAAACTCAGGGGCTTCACGAGCAAGCAAACTGCCCTCACAAGCTTCAGAAAACCAGAGCCAAGAACGTGGTTGACTCTCAGGCTGTTTTCGTTCAGCCGATCAGCTGGAATGAGCACTACACAGCAAATGCCCAAGCTTATGCAATTGATCCCACTGGGCAAATGCTGCAGCCAAGCGTGTTCAACGCACAACAAACAGCTGAGGGAAGATATGCAGCAGATGTCTACACTGATGTTGAACCAGAGGAGGAATACAGGCAGCTGCAGCAGCAAAAGAATCAGCACCAGCTTCGACGAGGGGATAGCAGCCGAGTTACAACCATCACAGGGAATGCCCAGATTGGCGGGAGCCCTAATTTTCAAAAATCGAATTTTGAATTAAGGGGAAAACAAAGTATGGAGCAATCGGGAGGAATTCACCTTGGAGCTGGGGAGATGGAAGCCGATCGCCCTTGCCTGAACGTGGCCACACGCTCACAAGTAGTGCAGCAGCAGCAGAATGCAGGAGGCGTTCAATCTTGTGCTCCAGGGGAGTACGTGGATGATCCAGAGGCGATTGTACGCAGGTTCCGGAGGCGCCTCAAGGAGCAGGAAGTGGGAATGGAGAACAAACCAGCGCTGCACCGTGCATTCGAATCAACGCCGCCAGCACACGCGAAGAATTCAGAATTACTCAGGAACCCTAATTTTGGAATTAGGGATGTGGTGGCCGAGCAGCGAAGGGGCGCGGAGGTAAAGGCGGCAGCGGATGCGGGTTCATCCGCCAAGGCCCTGGAAGGAAGCGCCACGGCACTTGGTGGAACGGCGCTAAAGAGTGCCATCGGCTCACAAACAGGGCATCTGCAGCAAGCGACTGGTGAGCGAAGGATGGAGTGTGGCAAGGCAAGTGCTGAGGAAGGCGTGAGAGATCCCGAGGCCGGGCTATCAAGGAAGAAGGGGCGCAGATACAAGCGTGTGCCGAACTTGCAGCCCCCACCGTACGACGTTCTCGCTGATTTAAAGAATCAGAAGCCGAGTATCAGTTTTGCTCAGCTTCTAGCTTTGGCACCGGGTTTGAGGAAGGCTATTTCCACAGCCATGCAGGCACACAAAGAGGCGGTGGTGAACTCTGCCTGGCCTGTCATAGCGGATATGAGTTCTCCTTGCGTGGATGTGGAGATTCAGGGGGAACTCATACGTGGTTGCACGCTCGATGGAGGAAGCGGTGTAAACATCATGCCGCTGGAAACGTGGAGAAGGTTTGAGCTTCCACGCCTGTGCCAGTTCATTTTGCTGTCCGGATGGCCGATCAACGGAGAGTTCAGCCCGTGGGACTTGTTTCGGGTGTGAAAACCTGGATCGCAGGAGTAAACTTCTTCATTGATTTCGTGGTCCTCAAAATGAAGGAGGGAGCAGGTCTCAACTACCCGTTGTTGCTGGGCCGGCCCTGGCTGCTTCAAGCATCAGCTGAGCATAACTGGGGAACGGGGGTGCTGACCATCGGGGATGGGAACTTCCGAATTCCAATCCAAGTGCATGTCAGGCCGGGATATAAGCGGGAAAAACCAGTAGCTGTGGAACCAGAAGATGGAGACTCCGATACTACATCTGAATCCACTGAGGAGGATGTGTTTCAAGAGGAGGTGTCGGAAGAGGAGATGCCCGGTGTGGAGCTCCAGCAGCTCGTGGCTGAGGAGAACGTTTCTGAGAATGGAGCTGATGAAGAGCTGCAGCTGGTCATATCCGATCACCACTCAACGGTGAGCAGTCAAGATCTTCTTCAGCGGCTGGGAGCTTCTTCCCAGGTTCCTTTCCTTATGATCCAAGCGGAGATACTTCCTTTTCCTCCTAACGTTCGGGGAGATCCTGCGCTGGATGCTTCACTGTTTACCATGGGGTATGTGAAGGGCCTCGATTGTTTGACGTTGGTGGATCCTGGAGCGCTGCAGAGCTTCATCACCATTGACTTTGCTGTAGCAGCTCGGCTGCGGATCACCATCACTGAGCAGGACCAAGTGGCCGTATGTGCTGATGGGGACGTTTTTCCCATTTACGGCAAGGTGGAGGATGTTTTTCTCTTCCTCGGCAACCAACGCTTCATCGTGAACCTGTTGGTGATTAAGCGACCAGGAGACATTGCTGTTGTCCTTGGATCAGATTGGCTGAGGACTACTAATGCTGAGATGAACTACTTGCACGAGACTGTGGTCACAACAGATGAATTCGGACAGCGGGGCAGGCTGTACCTTTTTCGAAGAGGAGAGCTTGATCCCCCTTGCTACATGCTCCAAGTGATCACATTGCCTTCGGCTCAAGTGGTGGACGTTCGCTTGGTGGATGTGGGGACCCTCCGAGCTCAGGTTTTACATGAGGTGCAGACCTGCTTCATGACTGCTGCGGTGGCCGAGGAGTATGATGTGCAGGAGTTCGGCTTTCCAGGCCTGATGTTGGAGATACTTCCTGGAGTTTACCACCAGGTTCGTGGATTTATCCCTACAGTTGCTCTGATCGTGGGAGAGTTTCTGGTCACCACCCGGTTCCTGGTGCTGCAACTGGACAAGCTGGAGGAAGCCGAGGAACATCTGTTTCTCGGTCAGGAGTTGCTCCAGAAAGTTGAGGACCTGGTGGAGGATGTGCCTCTCGTTGTGGAGTGCAACGCTGTGGAGGTTTCAAGACTCCAGTCGGTGGAGTACGACCCTGAACTCGACAACTTTCCAGCTCGTTTTTTCCACAGTCGTGAAGCCGAGTTGAAGATCAGAGAGGTTCCAGCTGGGATAGAGGTGAACTCCTCTCCTTCTGAACCTGATTTCCTCACTTCCCCACTCTGTGTTCCCCTTCTCGTTGAGTTCAATGGAAATTCTGAGAGGAGGGAACTGCAGGTGGGAGCTCAGCTTTCACCAGATGCCAGAGAACTCTTCCATCAGCTCTTCCTCGAGTTCCGCGACATCTTTGCGTGGAGCTACGACGAGCTGAAAGGCGTGGATTCCGAAATCGCTCAACATCGAATTTGCCTGGTTGACGGTGCTATTCCTCGTCGCCAGCGAGCCTACCGCCTCAACCCGCGCTATGCAAAGGTAGTGAAGGAGGACATCGACAAACTTCAAGCTGCCGGCTTCATTGAGGAGGTGGAGGGGAGCGAGTGGGTCTCTCCCATTGTGGTGGTGCCAAAGAAGAACGGGAAGCTATCCAGAAAAGAAGGAAGGCATGGTATGACCGATTCCTTCGTCTCAAGCTCTTCAACGAGGGTGACCTAGTACTTCTCTACGAGAGTAAGTATTGGAAGCGACCTGGCAAACTTCGAGTTCGCTGGATTGGACCATATCGAGTGGAAGCTGTGTTTCCAAACGGCTCGGTGCAACTCAAGGATATGGAAGGAACTTCTCTTTCTACTCGCGTGAACGGGTCTCGCCTACGGAAGTACTACCCGCCGGAGACATTTTATCCATCTCAAGGGAGTGAGGAGGAGAGTGCTCCGGGATGTAGCACTATTGGAGGGGGGGTGATGTCGCACCCCAAAAATGGCCTAAATACTTAGCTTGGGCTAAGGTTGAGCCTAAGTGGTGAGTTTGGGCTTAAGGTTAGTACTAATCCTTGGGTTAGGGCTAAACCTTGGGTTTAGACCATCCTTAGGTGGCACCCCTTCGACACTTCATCAATCTCCACCAAGGGTCACTGAGTCTCCGCCACCTCAGTGATCCATAAGTCACATCCCTTACTTTGTTGACACAAGGTTCCAAGGGATGCCTCTTTTGGACACATCACTGATCCTCAACTCAAGGGTCGCAACCCTTCCTTGTGTTTATATACTCACATCCATTCAATGCAAACCATCCTACCTTTTGGCAAAGCAGTGTGTGCTACTTTCCAAGTGGAAAGATCCTTGGATTCTAGACTAGTAGTGTTGGGGCTTGGGGTTTTCCTTTCGAGCTTCAAGGTGTTCGAATAAAATGGAAATGGATCCACAGCGAAGGTTTGTTGGTTTCCTGCTCTTGGGAAGTTTGCTCATAGGTGGCTTGTGTCACTTTCAGGCATAAGCAAAGCATTTGTTTGAGACATCGACAGTGGAAAATCCAATGAGGTGAAGACAAGCCCAGCGCTTTTCCAGATTTTTAAGAACCAACGCAGGCAAACATCATCGTCCAGCTTCTTTCTCGTGTTCCTTCGTTCGTGCTCGTCTCTTACATCGTGAAGTGAATCGCGCATTACATCGATTAGGAAGGTTACCACCACCACAATCAAAGCACAGTAGAGTGTGTGCCTGTGCTAGCTAGCTGTTCTTGGTTATCACAAAAGAAGCTCTTCATTAATGCCGCAGCTTATGGCGCCTGCTCGCCAGCAGACATGAAAGCAAAGCAAATTTCTTTCTCTTTTTCTGGAGGGGAGAAGGAAAAACATTTCGGAATTTTAATAACCAGCTAGATCTAGGATCATGTTCTTCGTTTAGATCTCTCAAGCGTTAAAGTCTTAAAGGGAGAAAAGAAAAAGATCACAGGCATAAAGGCAACAATTTCTCTTATTCTGTCATTGATCACATCACCATCCAAAGCAACAAAGCAAAGCAAAGGTCGCTCTTTTACTTTGCTCTCTTTTACGACCAAAGTTGGTCACTATCACACTCTCCAAATCTCTCTTAACGCGCAAACGACGATCATTTTCTTCGTGGGGGCATTTGTGATCTTTGCGTGTGGGGAGTGTCCAAATCCCCCCAGGCAGCAAGAGAGTAGCAACTCCTCTGTCCGGTCAGGCTGGAAAGCGCGCGTCCAGAAATTGGATTGCTTTCTTTCTTCTGCGCGCCGAGACCCCTCTCTCTCTCTCTCTCTCTCTCTCTCTTCTTCCCTCTTTTCTCTCTTGCAGCTTTTTGTTTCGTGGGCATTCGCTGGCGCGCGCAGGACACATTCTTGCCGGGCTGGGCCGATCGAGCAAGCAATTGGGTCACTGGATTTGTCGTGCTGCTCTACTGGGTGGGATTTGCGAGCCAGAGAGTAAAAAGGATTGGTTTCTCATGCCTAGGGGGAGATGATCATATCTGATCAACCAAAGTCAAGGATAAGTGGACAGCGACTGGCCAGGATGAGAGAAGAGCCGAGAGGAGAAAAGAGAGACCTTTCTCCATCTTTCTTTCCCCTTTGTGTGGTAGTGGCTTAGCTCCTCTAGCTAGCGCTGGATAATTCCAATCCAGATAGATGGTTGGAATTGGATCTGAGGAGCTCTTGATCTTGTCGCTCGCCAAGAGATGAGGAGCGCTACTGGTGAATGGAGATCCGCGAGGTTCCAGAGGTGTCACCTCCAAACGGCGGTGCCAAGTCTTACAGCCATCGTTCGCATTCTTCGTCCTCTCGAGGTAAGAGGACAAACTCTTTTTTTTCCTCGTGGTAGCTCGAAGGTCTTAAACCGAGCGCTCTTTCGTTGGATAGGTTCTATCAAAGGCGCTGTTGGAGCGAGAAAGGTACGTTTTTGCAAACAAAGCGTCCGGTGGCTAGTCTCTAGAAATTGATGCTCGCTGCTTCTCTTTTCCAGATCAAAAACTCGGGTAGCGAGGAACAAAAGGCTCCGGAGCAGCAGCCCCGCATCTCTCCGGA